CTCTTCTCCAGGCTCAACAGCCCCAACTGTCTCAGCCTGTCCTCATAGGAGAGGTGCTCCAGCCCTCGCATCATCTTCGTGGTCTCCTCTGGATCAGGCCCATAAGAGCCAACATTCCTATGTCTTGGGTCCACCAAGTGAAGGGTTTGGATGAATACCTGACTTGGTTGCCCCACACATCTTCAGTGTCACCACTTTCTTATGGCCAATCCAGGTTAGGCCCACAAGAGCCAAGAGTCCTGTGGCCTTGAGTCCACCAAGTGAAGGGTTTGGGTGAATACCTGACTTGGTTACCCCACACATCTCCAGTGTCACCACTTTCTTATGGCCAATCCAGGCCAAGATGTGCAATCAAACCACTGTGTCCTGTAACCTCCACAGCTGTTTGACCGGGAACTGTGCGTCCGTCAGCTGAGGTACTCGGGGATGATGGAGACCATCCGGATCCGCCGAGCTGGCTACCCCATCCGCTACACATTTGTGGAGTTTGTGGACCGGTACCGTGTCCTCATGCCTGGGGTGAAGCCAGCATACAAGCAGGTGAGCATCTTCTTCCATGGGTAACGATTGCTTTCTGCTGGGCTCTCCAGAGATATTTATAGGGTGTGCATTGTCTTCAAAAGCAGTTATGCAACATTTGGTCCTCAGATGTTACAGTGGTGCTCTGGGCTTTCCAAGTGAATTAAGAATGGTTACAGGGCTAGCAGGAACAGGGAGCCATATTTAGCCTGTCCCTCTCACTCACCTTAAATGTGGTGACAATAAAGCCCTGGGAACCTCATTAACAGAAAACTACTGGAAGTGGGACCAGAAGAGGTCCCCACTGGGCTTGGGAGGACCAATGGGTGAGGCTGGTCCTGGTGAATCCCACCCCATCTCCTACCAGGGTGACCTGCGTGGGACATGCCAGCGCATTGCTGAAGCGGTGCTCGGGAAGGATGATGACTGGCAGATTGGCAAGACAAAGATATTCCTGAAGGTAGGTGGCTCTCTGTGTCCCCCTTGCCATCTGGAACCCTTGCCTGTGAAGGGATCTCCTACCATCCCCTTTTCATTGCCAGGTGTGACCTTTTCTCATGGTGTCTGGGCTGTGTGTGGTGGTGGGTAGAACCTGGGCCAAAGCAGGATATTTGGGGCCGGTTTAGGAAGCAGGAAGAAGTCCTGACTCTCTGCCAGGACTGATGCACGCACATACCCATACGGATGCAGAAATATTCACACACAGCACACAGCCTTTTCCTTCCAAGGCTGAGCTGCCCAACCCCATCTCCTACCTTCACCCAAAACACACAGCAGCTGGAAAGATGTCCATGCAGAAACCTGCAGAGAGAGGGACCAAGAGCACAGCAGGCTCACTTTGCTTTCAGCACATCCTGGTATGACCAAGTCATGCCTACAACCTCCATCTCTGCATCGGTCCTGCTGACACGGAGCAGCCCAATGTTGGATGTCCCCTGTATCCCCGTTCATACTCATCTCTCCTTATCAAACCATTCCTGTGTGCTTCAGGAAGATACATCTGAGCTGACCAGGGACCTTGTTGGAAGCAAAGGCTTCTCTCAATCAAAAATCTCAGGAGAGAACACTGACTACTTATATCTAAATTCACCTCCAACTCCATTGCCAGCACAAACACCCCCATCTCTTCCCTAGAATCTGTTCCCACTAGCTGCTCTTTCCAGAGCCTGTTATCAAGATCTTGCAGCTGTCAGGGCAGGAAACAGAGAAATCAAGAGGCCCCAAGGGACTACATGAGGTAGAGCAAAGCAGGAAATGTGTGGAGCTGCTTCTGCTGCACCCAGTGCGGCAGAGCTCAGTGTGCCACCACCACTGGGAAAGAAAGACACACTACAAACGGCGTGGGAGGAATCAATAGGAAGCTTAGACTGATGCATCTGAAAAGCTCAGGGCAAGGAAATTCAGTATTTTGGGGAGTTGGTTTGTCCTTAGAGTGTGGAGGCATTGCAGCCTTGGCTGGAGGGAAAGACGGGACCCAGGCAGCCTGGAGTTTGTTCCCAAACCTCTCCAGTGCTCCCAGGAACTGCTCCCACAGCTGATGGCACTAGCAGGGAGCTCTGCGTGGAAGGGAAACATAATTTGGTTTCTTCAAACTATGAAGTATTGCACCTGCAGTGTCTGGCTGCTCTGGTTTGTTTGGGAATGAAGGCAGTAGATCACTAGGGTTGGTGTTAGGATCTCCCCACTGAGTAGGTAGGTGATAATTGGGATGTAAAATGCCCCAAGAGTTTATTTTGGACATCTCTGGGGAAAGGTGTTGTGCCACCCCTCCTGCCACATGTCTGGCAGGTAGAGAGCTTCATACATGGGTGTTGTGTTGTTTCCTCCCACAGGACCACCACGACATGTTGCTGGAGATTGAAAGAGACAAGGCCATCACGGACAAAGTCATCCTCATCCAGAAGGTGGTCCGTGGCTTTAAAGACAGGTAGGTGTGAGCCCCACTGCCACATGGGAGGTGGGCTATGTGGGATGCTTTACCCAGCAAATAGTTCCTGGAGGATGCTCCACTCAGTGCTCTTCTGACCTGCAGCCAAGTATGGGGAGCCCTGAAGTGTTGGCATTCAGGTGGAGCAAGTATTGGAGGAAAGCAGTAGAGGAAACAAGAGGAAAATTGTTATCTGCCTCAATTATGGGCAGACTAGGACCTTCTGTCCCTGTTTAGTGCTGTCTTCAGGGGAGCTGATGTTTGCTATGACAATGCAGCAGCATGACTCTGAGCCTGCTGAAGGCAACACTAAGCTCCAGTCTATGGAGATCTCCACAAGACTGCAATGGGGCCACTGGGTCATCCACTATGACTAACATTGTTCTCCACAAACCCCAAGGGTTTCAAGACTCCTCCGTTTGCAACCCAGTTGCCAGACTTGGGAGGAGGACATATAGCCCTTGAGAAGCTTATGGCAGAGTTGTGGAAGAAGAGGACCACTGTCCTGGTTTTGCTAGGATAGGGTTAATTTTCTTCTCAGTAGTTAGAAGAGCCGTGTTTTGGTTTCAGTTCAGACTTGTTATGAAAAGAACATTGATAAAGTACTGATGTTATTAGTTGCTGCTGGAGCTCAAGGCCATCGTGTTTGGCTGGTTCACAGCTGCACTAGGACTGAGAGGGAGAAGTGCTGTGAATAGCAAAGCCCAAAACTGGAATTTGGATGTGCCAATGAAATATTCCAGATCATATCCCATCATGTTTAGTATATTATCCAGGGATGACCAGAAAGGGGGGAGTGGATTTGCACAGGTTTTCTCTCGGGCTCTGGCTCTTCCGGGATCGCCGTTTTGGTTCGGGATTGTTGCTCCTCCGGGATCGTTATCTGGGAACAGGCTTATCAGTGGGTGGTGAGCAGCTGCACTGGGTTATCACTCATTTGCATATCTTATTACTGTTATCTTTATCACTGCTATTTTAATTTTAGTTATTTGGGGTTTTTTTTGTTTGTTTTTTTAAAAAAAAAGTTTTATTTCTATTATTAAACTGTTTTTATCTCAACCTACAAGCCTCCTAATCCTTGCCCCCAATCCTCTCCCCTATCCCCTGGGGGTGGAGAGGGGAAGTGGGTGAACGGTTTATGTTGGCTGCTAGCCAAGGGCTAGCCCCATGGAACTATGACAACTACAGCCAAGGACAAGCTTCACTCATGAAGGAGGAACAGCTCTTGGGACTTTGTGCTCTTTGACTGTCCGAGCCATAGCTGTGACTCAGGTTGTGCCTCAATTCTGTAGAAAGGGCACGTGCCAAATAACTCGGAAATCTTTCCCACAGTAATCCTAGAGACACCCTGAAACCCTTCCAACACAAGTGTCCCCAAGGTTCCTATAGATAGGATCAGGCCAGACTAAGAGGGATGGGAGGAGCAGATAGGAGTAACGGGGTGGTGTTGCTGAAGTTTGCCCTTGATCATTTGGGTGAGATTGAAGCTGTTCTCAGGTGCTGGGATTGAAGCAGGGAGAACAGGTGAGGAAGAGATTTCCTGTGAGAGAGGAGGGTGCAGTGGAGGGGGAGAAGGGGACCATTCTCAGCATCTCCTGATTCCCATAAACTGGCAGAATATGCCTGCGGAGACCTATTAGAGAGAGCCCCTACAGATCTTTTTATGAAAGCAAGGAGACCTGAGGATGTTTACCCAAAAATGCAATGTTTGCTCCACCTGGCTGCTCAGTTTCAAATCTCCAAAGATTGAGGCCCAGGAGATGATGATAACTTGTGGCCAAACCACAGAGGCAAGTGATTGAAATGCCTTTGCAGGTCCAACTTCCTGAAAGTGAGAAATTCAGTCCTGATGATTCAGAGATACTGGCGTGGACATAACTGCAGGAAGAACTACGGTGCTGTAAGTACAGGGGTGCTTCCTCACACCTCTGTCTTCCTACCTCTTCCAGCTGGGACACATGTAAAAGTTTTCTTGCTCAGAATGCCCCACTGAGTGTAGGAGGGGGTGGGGTTGGCTTTTATCAGCTGGAGTGATGAATGGAGGTTTTCTTTTGCTGCTTTGCCTTCTCATTGAAGAGAGCACCTGACCACCTTCTAGCTATTCTTTTCCCCATGAGTTAGATGTCCATTGCACCACCCAGTCACTTGGAGTTTTAAAAGTCTTCCCCTAGTTTCCAGGTGAATGAAAACTCAAGAGCAGCTTCCTGTGAAAAACAGACTCCATCTCCAGATGGGACCGTATCTGTGTTTTTCCTCAACCCATACCATGGCTTTCTTCTCTCTCTGTCCTAGCTGGCTGTGATAGTTTAAGCTCTAACCCAACTGCAGGTCATTTGAAAGTGCTTTGGAGTCTAAGTGTCTCAATATCATCTTCCAAGCCTGAAACTTCATAGAAATAGCCACTTCCAGGCTGGTCAGGATGCTGCCTCCTGCCATGAAACAGCGCCTTGGCTGTCAGACAGGAGGTCTGCAAAGGCTGGACCTCCATGGGAGCAACCCTCATGGCTTGTGGCTACCTTGAGATGACCAACCAGACCTCTGGAGACCTCTCAAGGGCAGAAACTCTGTAGGATTCAGTGGAGAAGAAACTGCCTTTGTCCTTCCTGGGCTCTGAATCAGTGCAGCAGCAGGAAGGCTTTATTTCTCCACTCTCTTGAAGAACCTCCCTCCCAAAGGCTTGTCCTGGTAGGGGCTGATTTCAGTGGCTTTTATTTACAGACATTACCAATGGAAGTCTACTAATGGTGGGTGAGCCCTTAAGTGGTGGGGTAGTTTCATCCTGCTCCCTCTTGCAGATGCGGATCGGCTTCCTGAGACTTCAGGCTCTCTACCGGTCCCGCAAGCTCCACAAGCAGTACCACATGGCTCGCCGGCGGATCATCGAGTTTCAAGCACAATGCCGAGGTTATCTGGTCCGTCGAGCTTTCCGCCACCGCCTCTGGGCTGTCCTCACCGTCCAGGCGTACGCCCGGGGCATGATCGCTCGAAGGCTGTATAAGCGCCTCCGGGGGGAAGTAAGTACCATGGAGGAGAGGTCTGTGGTGGGAAATGGAGGTGGGGAGAGGGGAAATAAACATGTTTCTGCATCACATGCTTATGGAATCGATATTTAAAGAGCAAAAAAGAATTTAAAAAATAAGCCAGTGCCTATTCAGCAGGGCTCTTGTGTTTATTCCCCCAGTATCATCGACGTCTGGAAGCAGAGAAACTTCGACTGGCAGAAGAGGAACGACTCCGAAAGGAGATGAGTGCCAAGAAAGCTAAAGAGGAAGCAGAAAAGAAGCACCAAGTACGTGGGGACTTTTCTGGAGCTCTGTCTGTTTTCCAGGGACTGACTTTGCTCCTTTGAGAAGGAATGCCAAAAATATCTCAGCAATTTCTGCCCTGCTTGAATGGGTTTGATTTAATTCACTAAAGCACTCTGTGCTCTAACTAGTTGGAAGCTCCTCCAGAATTTCTGATCTACTGCACAGGAAT